GGCAGATTTTTGGAAATATTCGGGGAAAAATAATTATGAATTTGCTAGAGTAATAGATCAAGAGGGTATTGAAGAGAAGTTTCTTTTGGTTAGTTTTGATATGCCATCAATGTATACTAACATCATAGCTGTTGTAGCCCTAACATTCAGCCTATATGAGCAACCAGAAATTATTAAGGGAGCCAATCTGAGCAAAATCTCAATCTTAAGGCTTCTTAATCTATCCATGAGTAGAAGATCCTTTACCTTCAATGATAAGTATTATGAACAGGTGCAAGGCCTAGTAATGGGATCTTGCTTGGCTCCCATTTGAGCTAATAAATACATGTCAAGAACGGAGGAACACTTCATGGAAGAGGTAAGATTGAAACCCAAACCGTTAATTAGATATAGGGATGATTACTTTGTCATATGGCAACATGACAAGAAAGGTTTAAATATTTTTCTTGTTCTTAATTAACCAGATTGCCTGCAATGTTAAGTTGAGAATGGAGATGAAGAAGGACAACAATTTACCCTTTTTAGATGTTTTAGTGATCAGAGCAGGTGAAAAGTTAAGCTGGAATGTATGTAAAAAACCAACCCATGCTGGTATCCAATCATATCAACAAAACAAAGGTTGGAATTTTAAAATATATGATATACACACACCAGTGTGACAATGAACTGGATCGGCTTGAAATAATATTTCTTGGGAATAATTATCCCATAGGCTCGATTCAAAATAACATTAGATTAATAAAGAATAGCTTTTAGAATGGTGAATATGTAAGGAAAGATAAGGAGATCTTTTCTCATCTTTTGTCTTTACCTTTGGGCATTCTCTCTACAAAAAAAAGTGAACAAGTAAGAAAGTGAGAAATAAAAACGGTTTTCAGAGACACTTTGTTTAGTTATGCCCACTTTTAGAGCGAAAGTTGACCCATTATCCAAATCGGGTTCTACTTCATTAACCAAAATTAAATAGGAAATCACCATAAAAGTAATTGCCTATTTTTAAATATATGTGGTCGCTTTTATATTGAAGAGACTTGTCGACCCATTCGACAAAAGTGCCTACAAAGGGTGTTGGGTTCGAAAATCATAGCTAGCTAAGCACAGGCCAGAAACGGGACACGAGATTGAATGGTCTCAAACTGGTCGTTTTGCTGATTATGGCATTTCTGCGGCTAAACGTAAAATAGGAGAAGCCATCGAAATAAACCGAATATGAAATACATTAAATGTAAGGAATACTGGCAAGAAGATAAGTAAAATCTACTCGTGCTTACTTAATAGACTAAAGGATAGAGATGGTGTCGAGCTGCCTTCAAAAAGGAAGCGACTCAGCTAGTCTTTTCTTTTATTTTTCGAATTAAGTATTGTTCTCGTGACTACCAGTAAATCAGTAATATGAAATGTATTCACTCTATTTCGTTTAATGTGATGAAGGACTGGTAAAAGGAGAATTTTCCTACAATCATATGAGTTGAGCTTGACGTTTCCATCGAATTTCACATGGCGAGGTAGAAACTGCAGTCCACCCTGGTTGAGAACAACTTTTGGGAAAGCAAGGCTATGTGAAATTCAATGGCAACGTCAGCTCAACTCATATCATTGTGGGAAAATTCTTCTTTTATCAGTCCTTCATTAACTTAAACGAAATTGGGTGAATACATCTCATAGTATTTTCTTCCCTTTGTTCTAAGCATAGTCACTTTTCTGTACTTTTAGCTCATTCTTTCTCTTTCGTATGAAGAGAAAAAACAAAAGAAACTCTCATCAACATAAGCAGACGAGTGTCCGAACCTGCGTAATCGAAGTGACGGTTATAAAACAAATGTAGAAATGGGGAAACACTGGTCATCAAAACCTTGATGGACGAAAATAGAATTTACTTTTGCTGTCCTCATAACTTTGAGCATCACTGCCGGTTTCGTGCATAAGCGAACACAAACAGGCGCATACACATACAGAGACAGACGCACTCACAGGCTTCGCGGTTGACATATGACCGTAACTATCGAAATCACTTTATACCTCATCAAATAGAGTATACATAGAACTTTTTAAAGATTTGCCGGTAATTTCTTGACTCACTAGCTGTAATTTGGTTGTAATGATGATGCCTTGCTTTGATGATGTTCGTCATAGGATGGACGAAAGCTTAGCACCTTTTTACCGGAATCGAAGGAGATTACCTCGAAAACAGCGTCGACATGAATGCTCCAGTAAAGCCAATCGACAGCAGGTCAAGAGGAATCCGCCGTCGTCTTCCGATGGAATCGACCTTCGAATCTCTTCACCAAACACTTTCACTCGATATGGAAGTAAACTCATCAATAAATATATGTATTCCTTGCATGAGATTAAGTGGATTTTAATGGAAACTTCTGCCAGATCGACGTCAGTTCGATTTTTAATTGGATTTATTGAAGATCCAGACTGCTCTGTAATCCTTATCTGTACTGTGAAGCCTAGCACCTTGGCTCTATGGCGTTGTTATGAAGTTGCTGCGTAACAGTTTACAATCATTGTGGAGGTCAAAATTGAATAAAAAGCGTTTTCGGAGACAAGGCTTAGTAAAAATTAATCGGCATTGTGAAGCCTTGCACCACCTAAAGCGACCCCTGGTGATTCAAAATATATCTTTATTAGGTGCTTTGCAATTAATATTTCTGTTTTGCAGTTTTTTTCAATTCAATGACCATCACTCGATATTTTCTCCCGTGCCAATGTCACGTCTTCTCTTGCTTCGCTCGATGTAGACGTGACCAAAGCTGCATGTAAATCGGTCGATTGCTGAAGTGTTGCACAGTTGACAAAATTGTGGGGTCGACAGATATAGCACTCTT